AGACAGGTCACCACCCATCGACACAACGACGCTAGCATTAGGATAATAACTAGCAAGCTCAACAACGAAGAAACTCAAGATAGTTCCGAGGAACACACAAGACACCACACGGTTCAACGAAACACAATGTTGAACACTTAGCACGATAAACAACACCAAAGATCCTACATAGATACCTACCAAAAGCTCTAGACCTACGAAACATCAAGAAAACGCTCAAATAGCTCCACAAAAGAACAACGGGAAGCCAAAAGATCAAACACCGAGACAAACGAAACACGGGGAACAAATCCCACTCCAACATCACTGTGTTCCCCGCGGGTGGACCCACGGGTAGCGCCCCACCCGTGGTCCCGCCCGCGGGTACAACACCCACAAGGCATACGTTCTCGCGGGTAGGCCGGCGGGTGGTGCCCCGCCCGCCGTTCCGCCCGCGGGTACATCCCTGTACCACAACAAATCCCTTCGGGAATTTTCTCCTCCAAACACAAATTCAAGTCCAAAACATGCCAAATCTCACCAAGCACAACAAAATGACTTGAACCAAGGAAAATGCCAAGCAATGGCACAAAGGAAACTAAACACAAGCTCTAGATATGCAATATCACAAGATAAATGCATAAACTCTCACATTTCATAGCAAAACACAAGTAGAAGCCAAGAAATCATATATAGGTAAGCAAAATAGGTTTTGTAGAGCATGGGTTACCTCTTGAAGACCAAAAGACTCTTCTTACACCACAACAAGCTCTCCACTAAGCTCACTAGCCAAACCCACTTCAAGATCAAACCAAAAGATCATAAAGATCCAACCTTTAAGAAAAGACAACTAAGATGGAACCAAAAAGACTAGACAAGCTTAGATCTTACCCTTCTAGATGCCAAAATAGAGGAAAGATTGAATCTTGGAAGAAAAACTTGGAATCTTGACAAAGGCTTCTTTTGGCTTGAAGAACAAGCTACACTTGTTTTCTAGAGAGAAGGTAGAGATATTTTCTAGGAAATGTAAGGGAATGAAATGAAGAAGTCTTCTAGGTTTAGGTTACAAAACAAGCTCTTGGTGAAAAGACAAGGATACCCTTACTAACTCTAGAAAGTGTAAGGAACAAGGAAACTCCTCTCAAAGCACAAGGTACAACACCACTTAAAGATTGACTAGTCAAATACTAGTCCTTGAGTATCAAAAATCAGGATTTTAGGAATCAATTCCTCAAAAGAAATAGAATTAATTACTCAATTAATTCATGGTTTGGAGTGTGGATTTTTGGGGTGTCACATTATTCCTTGGACCATGGTCCATACATTTGTATGAACCATAAATAAAAAGTACATTTTTAATATACTAAAAAACACATTATTTGTATACATAAAGTACATTATTTGAAAATACATGATTTTTTATCTATTATCAAATAATGTACTTTCAGTATACAAATAATGTACTTTTAATATATTAAAAATGTATATTGCATTCATGGTCCACACAATAATTTGCTCCAAGAAAGTAACTGGATGAATGAAGCCCAAGAAAGATACAAAATACAGAGTGACTTAGGAGTTTAATAAAGATTGAACTTAGTATTCGTAATGTAATAAGGATTGTGTTCATTATTCCTGTAGTAGGACTATGGTTTATTATTATTACTAATATAACAATAACTCCCAATATGAACAATCTAGCATTTCTATTTCTTATAGAGCTCTTAGCCCAAAATATGTATAAATAGACCTTCTATACATAAAGAAAAGACAAGCAATTTTGTGCAATATAATTAGGGTGACCACGATTCGGTTCAAACTTTCGGTTCGAACTATAACCGGCACTGTGCTAACTGAACCGGAACCGGAACAAATAAGGCTCCGGTTAAGGTTCAAGAAATTTTGAAACCGGGACCGCCGGTTCCGATTCGGAACTGAATGATTCCGGTTCCAAACCGTGGAAAAAAAAAAAAAAAAAGGCGAAATGGCCATTGGCCAGCAAGCCACGGCTCAAGAGATTCAAACTTCAATTCTTTTTGAAGAATTGAAGTTTGAATCTTTGAAAAATGAATTATAAATTTGTTATAAATAAATAATAATAATGATAGCATGGAGCTGAAGCCTGAAGGATGGGTATTTAACTATTTTAATTATTTATATAGTTGGAAATGAGATTATAAATAATATTTTTACATGATAGGAATATTTTTGTAATAAAGTTTTGATGAGCCAAATGTACTTTAGATCTCCTTAGAATTGAGGTCTCTCGTACAAGCATCATAATCCAGAATATCAAGTCAAAGGAAAATCTACCACATGAAGAACAAAATTAGTTTCGAGAATTAATTTTGGTCATACAAGTATTCATTCGGGAAATAAGTATTAAACAATGGCGTTACAACAAATGATTGGATGAGCTTAATGGTGAAATGGTAGAAGTTCTTATTCATAATGATCACACTTGAGATTGATTCCCCCCAATGACTTATTTTTTACAAGCAAGAAGTGCTCCTGATTCCCCCCAAGGACTTATTTTTTACAAGCAAGAAGTGCCCAAGGAGCATGATGTCTTAACAAGCACAATGTCAACAAGCAAGAAGTGCTCCTGATTCCCCCCAAGGACTTATTTTTTACAAGCAAGAAGTGCCCAAGGAGCATGATGTCTTAACAAGCACAATGTCAACAAGCAAGAAGTGCTCCTGATCCCCCCCAAGGACTTATTTTTTACAAGCAAGAAGTGCCCAAGGAGCATGATGTCTTAACAAGCACAATGTCAACAAGCAAGAAGTGCTCCTGATCCCCCCCAAGGACTTATTTTTTACAAGCAAGAAGTGCCCAAGGAGCATGATGTCTTAACAAGCACAATGTCAACAAGCAAGAAGTGCCCAAGAAGCACGCTGTCTTTACAAGCACAATGGGGGGGACTTATTTTTTACAAGCAAGAAGTGCCCAAGGAGCATGATGTCTTAACAAGCACAATGTCAACAAGCAAGAAGTGCCCAAGGAGCACGATGTCTTTACAAGCACAATGCCAATGAGCACAATTTTGTTAACAAGCAAGATGTATCCAAAGGAGCACAATGTATCTTTTAAGGAGCAAAATGTGGCAAAGAAGCAAGATGATCTGAATCTAAATAAATTCGAATGAATTTATATTGATTCATCCCACATGCCACAAGAATCCAAAAAATGCCTGAAGACATGATCAGAACAATAGGGAATCTTATCCTAAAAATTAAATCATGTCAGAAGAATATTGCTAAGAGACGTTGGATATTTGAAGATGATGAAGAAGATAATAATTTTTTAGAAACAACTTGAAAATCAAGTTGAGATAAAAAAATATTATCTTGTTATGCAAGTTGACAATCAAATCAAAATTGAAGACCTACTATTGTCAACAATATCAGGCTATGAAGATTCAAATTTCAAATATCAAATTATCTCGCTCCAACGGATATATTTGATTATCTATAAAAGGCCATGAAGACTTGAAGATACAACACGAATGAACAAGTGCGAATTCTAGAAATACAAGTGCTCAAATATTCATTGAAATATCTAGAAAAGAGACTTAGTCTGAATAGTCTCAAAATTAGTTGGAGAGAGATACAATTACCTTTGTATTTGTAATTGTAAAAAGAGTATAGCTGTGTGCAAAATACTATAGTCAGTGTAGCTGTGTGCAAAACACTCGTAGTTGCTAAGTGTAGCTGTGTGCAAAACACTTAGTTGGCGTTGAGTATAGATGTGTGCGAAATACTCGTAGTTGAGTGTAGCTGTGGCCTGTGTGCGTGACACTTGAAGTTGGGTGTAGCTGTGTGCAAGACATTCGAAAGAAGTACTTGTGTAGCGCTTATTCACTATTATAACTGTGTGTGAAAAATAGTGAATTAATCCTAGAAGTGAATGGAGTAAAGTGGACTAGGAAGATTACGCCACTTCCGAACCACTATAAATTGCTTATCTCATTTACATACCGCACTTACATAATTCGCTTTATTTATTTATTTATTTATTTATTTATCATTTGACTAACCCGTTTACGTACTATTCACTGTCAATCTTAATCTTTCGGGTTTAGTGTGTTTTCACGTATGCATGTAACTCAAACTTTCCATGATTAACATCTGATTTATTCTAAGCAAGTTTGACGTGTTGTATGTGACATTCATCATACGGTTGCCGTGACACGAAATCTTATTTATAATCTTGAATATTATTGTTAAATATTAGTGCACCATCTTCTTTAAATATTCAAGATATTTATATCATCTTTACACATCAACTGAGCTTATCTAACATGTGCATGTGATTCAATATATTGGTTGGGCATAACTCTTTACACATATTTATTCCGCTGTGCAGTTCAAGTTAAATATTTATCTATTTACTTGTTATTTAGAGTTGAAATTACCAAAGAGTTATTTATTGTGAAAAAGTTTAAAAAGTCTATTCCCCCCTCTAGACTTTTTACCACCCTATCGGGACCAACATTACAAGATAAGCATACCTAAGCAAGTTAAATAGATTGGCTTATCACTTCTACATAGTGTCCAACATTACTTGAGGATACATGTTCAATCCTCACCTCATTACTTATCTCTTTTCTTTGGAACTTGTAAATTGATTGTATTGAACATTAACTTTAATATGTTCTGCATGTAAGTATTAATATAATTGTGTCTATGCCTTAGCGGTAAGGTTCTTACATTCTAAAGTAGGTAGATGGTTTAAAGTTCAAACCTTACCTTGGACATCCCTTTTGTTTTTTTTTGTTTAAGTATAAAATTACGGAGTATATGACGTTGTTATACGTGGCAGAAAATGTAAGTCCAGGTCACGCGCAGATGTACCACAAGAATAAACGTGGGATATGCCACATTAATTATCTTCCAGTTTCCTGCTCCTTTTTATCTCCTACTTTAAAATTTTCGAATATTCTTTCATACATTCCTCTGCATTATGGCCTTTTAAGCTCTCTTCCTCCCTTCTCTCCCTCACACACCAATCAACGCACAATGAAGCGAGTAACTGACACCAATCAACGCACAATGAAGCGAGTAACTGACCCGCTCGACGATCGGGTCAAGGCTCAGATCGTCTCCCACAGAGCTCAGGTAGCAGAAGATGATGATGATCTTTCTTCCTCAAGCTTTTCTGAAATTCTTTTCGACTTCCCGGAGCACGAGGCCGGAGATTATTCCGGTTCCGATAGCGACCTGCCGCCGTGCAACTCCGATGGCGAGCTTGAGGATGAAGTTGAGACGATAAACTGCGGCGAGGACTCGTTCCGGAATGTTCTCGCGTCTCGCGTTTCGGAGGCGGTGGAATTGCTTTCGTCGTGTTTGAATTCGAGTAAGTCGCCGGAGATTCTCCGGCGCCACGTCATGGCTTATCTTAGGGATTTTGGTTACAATGCGGGCGTTTGCAAGGCCAAATGGGAGAGAAGCGACGGGATCACCGCCGGAGACCACGAGTTCATAGACGTTCTCCGATCCGACTCCCAAAATAGGATCCAACGGTACATCGTCGATCTGGAATTCTCCTCCGAGTTCGAGATCGCTCGGCCGACGAATCATTTTCAGTATTTGATTCGATCGTTGCCAAAAGTTTTTGTAGGGAAGAGCGAAGAGCTGAAGAAGATCGTGAAAGTGATGAGCAAAGCGGCGAAGCGATCTTTTAAGAGCAGAGGCCTACACCTTCCGCCCTGGAGAAAACAGCGTTTCATGGAGAACAAGTGGTTTGGTTCCTATAGACGGAGCACAAATTTCCGGCCGGCCTCCATGGAATTGCTGGCTCCTTTAGACCAAGCTTTAGCCGTCAAGTGCCGGTCCGTTGGCTTCGACGATGCGGTCAACCGCCGGTTACTGTTTCCCGTCGTAACCCGAACAAGATGATAATATAGCTTAATTGGTATTCAAAATATAAAATGCTACATTCTATGATTAAATTTCCTTTATAGGATACTAGTATTTGCACCGATGCACGGTCATAATACTGTAGTAATAAATTAAAAAGATTAAAGGATAAAATAAAAACATATAAAATAGAAATGCGAAAATATTATTTATAATAATTGAAATTATAAATTATTAAGAATTTTTTTTGTAAACAACATTTTGAGTAGTGTCTAAAAAACTTCTAAGTTCATCACAAATTAAGACTTTAAGACTATCAAAATTACTTATTCTTACTTACTCTAGACACTGCTACGTAAAGTTGGCCATGGTTAAAAACAAATTTTTTAAATAACAACCCGAAATAATATTTGACCTTGGCTTTTATTTTATGTCATGACATATGACAACATAATATGAAATTGTTTCCTTTAATGTTATGTTATTTCACCCGTGCGATGCAACACTATATTATTAGAGTTATAATTAAAAAGAGTAAATGATGAAATGTGTAAAAAATAAAAGGGCTTGTAAACATTATATTAAATAATGTAATACGGAGTAAATAATATATATATATATATATATATATATATATATATATATATATATATATATATATATATGTGTGTGTGTGTGTATGTTAGAACTATCTAGAATCTAGCTTGCATCCTCATTTTCGTTCAATAATCTGCTCTCTATCTCTCGTTCACTCTCATGTATCTCTCCTCTATCCGTCATCTAAGTATGCATTTCTAGAATAGTACTCTTTTTTTGAAAATAGATAAGTGTTTTTGTTGACTTAAGAAATTTAGTCAAAATTGTTAGTAAAAAGGAATCTCAGTTCAGAAAAGATAAGCATAAAGGATATAAATTCAAAGTCTAAACAAAGTAGGAATAATTCTTCTACTGGGTGTATAAGGATTAGTTAGCTATATAAAGACCTCCTATCTGATCACTAGAACCCGTGAATTCCCTAGCTTATTCTATGAGGTCTAAGATTCTAAATTCCCATAGAAAGTAGTACATGTGTTTAGGTTACAATAGTTTGGTAGGAAAGATTATTTTATTGTGTAATCTCAAGTTCCAAACTGTGTACTTTGAATATTGAATTTTTACTGAATTTAGACAAATTTCCAAATTGAAAAGTGCCCCGCAAACTAGGATTTTTCCTGAACTGCGTTATCAACTTCTTGTGTTACAACAGCTCCGTTTTTACAAATTTCAGTTTTGATTTGATAAAATTTGCAGATATAGAATGATTAAAGTTTTCTACTAATGTAGTTATTTAACTGTCAGTATACACTATACTATTTATTTTATTTTTTCTTTTTTGCACCAGCACTGGAAAAGAATCATTTTTCTGCTTTTTTTCTTCTTTCAAAGTTCCCATTTTTTTTTTATACACCCTAACTTTGTTGTTCAATCCTTCCTGCCACCAGGTATTCTTTATGTCTACTCTCTCTTATCGCTTATAGCACGATAATCGTATGGAATAGCTATAGCACCATAATTGTCCCCAGATTCGAAATTTTTTTATTTGCATGATATCTCTAATCTCTTTATTTGTGAGCTTCTGATTTTGTTAGAGATGTTGTGTAGAACTCGAATCTTTGAACTTTTTGTAGATTTTGATTGTGGTCATTATGCATTTCCCATGGTGAACTTTGAAGTTTTTTCATATTCTTACAATTTGATTAAAAGGCTTGAACTGGATTGTACTGCTTGTTTGAACAATCCTTCAAAGGTTCTCACTTTGAGTAATCACTCAAAGTGTTGTATATTCTTGCAATTTGATAAAAACTTTGTTTAACAATCCAGCGTTTGTAACATTAAGTAGAGTTAAACAAATTGCAAACAATTTTAACATCATGTTGTCTATCTGCTTAGTCCTCTTGCACTGTCCTGTTTGGACTTGTGACTTCATACCATGCTAGTGCTTCTTAAAATTAGAGCATATAAAATAGTGTTAGCTCAGTAGAGTTTTAAAAATCACTCAATTGCAAAATCAGTACTTAATTTAGGGTTTTCAATTACCATTTTCAGTAGTAATCATATTTATCGGCAAATTATATCGTGCACCGCACATCAAAACGACGTCATTTTGTTTAATAAAAAGAAATGACATTTGTTTCCCGCCGTTCCGCACCCTTCCGTAAAAAGTAACTCTGTTACTCAGTTTCATTTTGTATACACTGCAGTTTCAGTTCAACAGAACTACAGTTTCAATTCGATATAACTACAGTTTCATTTGATATTTATAGACTCAAATATGTGAAAATGTTATTTAATTTTATTTTATATACACTATAGTTTTATTAAAACAAAACTACATGATCAATTTGATATAATTACAGCTTCATTGTACAATATATACTCATGTGAAATGTTATTCAGTTTCATTTTATATACACTACAGTTTCATTTTTTTATTAGATGTGTGTTAACAATTTTATTTTTTAAATATGAATATACACTTGTTGGCTTCCTAGTAAAGATCAGAGTTGTATAGTATATGCGTCAATATAGCCGCCCACTGAAAATTTTCTCAGTGTTGTATGTTTTCTAGCTCTTCTACATACCTTAAGCTTCTTCTTCCTTTTTAGATCGACCTATCATAGCTTCTTCCTTGGCATGAATCCGAGCGGCAGCGAACTAATTAAACTTCATTCTTCAATTCCTTTAATTTGTTACGCATGAAGGGATGACCAAGAGACAAATTACAGCTCCATTCCGACTACATGATTATGTTTGCTGATGAAGGTTGCAATTAATTAGACATATATGCATGCAGATTTATTTGACTATTTCTTCCGTTTTTGTTATTATTTTTGGCAGTAGTGCGGACAAATAGCAACTATTCAGGGAGTTGTTATATATATACGCTGCAATATAAATGGTATGATCAATAAACAAAGAGGGGCATTTTACCCTTGATTTAATCTCTTCTGTCTAAACTCTCATCTCTCAGTTTCCACCCTCGAAAGTGGAACACTGCGGGCATTTCTTGGAAACCCGGCCCATTCCAATTTTTGCTTTGATTTTCAGCTCAATCTGGAATTTAATATGAATGTGCTGCAAATTTGTTTTATCCTTTTGACATACTGCATTTGCTCATTGTATGTGCAGTGGTTCTTAAATCACAGATTTTAAAATTGCATCTGGAGATCAGATAGATATGAGGATTGGAAAACACTTCATTCCTACATTGTAGGTGCATGCAAAATTCTACTTATTGCTTCTGATCCGTTCCGCCGCTAGCAATCCTGTATGCCGACGCTACTGAAAAATGGCCTGAAGACTCCTTGTTCCAATACACATTATCACGTTTGATGGTTCCTTAGCTTCTGTCACCCCGTAGTAATTCATAAAGGATGCTAGCAAGAAGATTACCTTCAAGCCTCTTCCAGTCCCAAACTTCCCCATTTATTTATCCATATTATAACACAATATGATAAACTAACACTAAGTATGTTAGATTATATTTATTGTGTTCTATTACTGTTTGTTTGAACAATTCTATTATATTTTTGTGTTGAATGGTTTGAATTATATAATTAACAATTTTTTTTTGGTTTACTTGATTTTTTACAAGGTAGTATCTATTCTATACTTTCTCAAACATTTTCAATACAAAAAATCTAAGTCCGAACCTTTGACCATCCACTTGGATGGATAATCCGGATGCATCACACTACATGGTAGTTGGCAAATTATATAATTAACATATTTAACCTATAATAGCACGTTACTCCCAAGTCACCTATCACACAAAATGTCACATAAATTAATACTTTTAAAAACTTATATTTTTTTTTTTATGAAAACTAAAATAATTATATTAATTATTTTAAAAAGGCCAACAATTTGCCATGGCAGCTTACGAAGAAGTCCGCCGTGGCAACCAAGTTGCCATGGCTTCTTTGTCCATAGCAGCCAAGATTCCATGGAGGAAGAAACTTGGTGAGCTTCTTTGTCCAAATTGCCAAATTGGAGGGAGACGCATGAATTTTTATTTTTTTTTTTTTTTGGAATTTTTGAATAAGATTTAACGTAAGATGCCATCTAAGTAAAATTGACAAGTTACTTTTTGGTAATTCGTTAAGGAAAAAGTGTCAAATTGACTTCCTAAGTTAAATGGATAGTGCAATTGAATCTCTTAAGTAAAAAAAGTTCCATTTAAACCCCTTAAGCCGGCAAAAATATTCAATTGAGTTCCAAATTACTTGATTAGCAGGTTAGATCACCAGGCTGACACGGGTCACTTTTTTTTTAATGTTTATTTTTTAATGAATTATTTTATTAAAATTTTTCTTTTCATGTTTAAAACTGTTTTTAATTTTTTTTATTATTTATTAAACAGCCACAATCTGTCTTTGACAGCCGGTGGCTGTCTCCTATTAAGAACAATCGTGGCTGTCCGGCAATAGCCACGGCTGTCCGAAAACAACGGCGTGGAGTTAGACTATCACTCTGGTTATCATTTTCTGTCTTTGCTTCCTGATCAATTGGAGAAGATGTGTGGTTAGAAGAGTTATATGTTTTTAGTTTTTATGATGGGGAAGATGAATGAGTTAGGGTTTAGGGTGTTTACTTTCTCTTGGAACAGTGGCATTAGTCGGAGGCGCTACCGCTACACTTGCCAGAAAGGTTGTTCTCGGAAGAGCTGTACTTTCTCTTCAATGAAGACGAAGAAAGAGGCGGCTTGAGGCGGCTTTCCGCTGGAGGAGGCCAGGGACAGAATGGTAATCTGGAAAGTAGAGGAAGAAGACGCATGTTTGCTCTCCGTCTCCCCGGTCAACAACGATATGTTGAAAGAGTTGGCCCACAAAACCTCCGGCGAGTACGAGAAACTAATTGTCTTCCTGCCTCCGACGGCGCTTTCCTTTCTCAGCCTTGGGGAGTGATCGAAAACAGTCGAGGGCAGAACTTGTTGAATCGGCGTCGGGTTATAAACCTTGGTGTCAACCTGGATATCCTTCGTCGGAACCGGCAAAGACGAAACGACGGGGGCTCTCTGGAACCGGGCGTGCCCCGTCCGGGTTCGACCCAGAAGATTAATCACCTTCTGGAACTTATTCACGGCCACATCCGCCACCATTTCAATCTCCATCGATGACTTCTCCCAGCTCTCTGTCGCCTTATGCTGCTGCTACGACAACAATCTGATAAACGTATGAACGCTCTCAAGCCCCGATATGATGTTGCCTCCTGTACCACCGCACTCTCCTCCAGCTTCTTCGCGAAGCTGAGATCACTACAACCACTATGTCGCAAGGCTGTTGAATAGCTTTGCCGTCGTTTTCGGACAGTCGTGGCTATCGCCGGATAGCCACGGTTGTACTTAGTAGGAGACATCTACCGGTTGTCAAAGACAGTAGGTGGCTGTTTAATAAATAAAAAAATTAAAAACAGTTTTAAACAAGAAAATAAAATTTTTAATAAAATAATTCATTAAAAAATAAAAATTAAAAAATATGATATGTGTAAGCCTAGTGATAATCTAACCCGCTAATCAAGTAATTTTCGACTCAATTGAATATTTTTTCCAATTTAAGGGGTTAAAATGGAGCTTTTTTTACTTAGGGGATTCAATTGCACTATCCATTTGACTTAGGGGGCCAATTTGACACTTTTTTCATCCGTTAAATATGTTAATTGTATAATTTTAACAAGTTTAAGAATCTAAGTCAAATAAGTCATTTAACTACACACCAAACTGCAATTAGATAACTGAACTAAAAGAAGTACAATTGGGTCTCTAAACAATGCAGATTAATACAATTTAACTTAAAATGACTTGTTTACCTAAAAAAATAATAATAACTCGGCAGGAGCCTTTGTCTCCATGGTTGGTCGGAGATGAAGGGACTTAATCTGCAACTGTTTTTTTTTTTTTAATAATTATTTTATTTAAAATTATTAAAATAAAATAAAAAATTATGTGTAAACACGATAATTGACACATCAACACTTTCTTTGTTTGTGCTCTGAGAGACACAGGAGCTGACCCAAGGAGAACCGAACCCAAATTATCTTAGAATTCTTCTCCCACAAAAAAAATTCATTTGTCACTTGAACTACCCCGTTGATTATTCTGAGTACATACCTAAATTAAAATTAGAAACCAACTAAGTAAAGAAATTTGAAATTAAAGGTCCGGCCTATAGAAATAGAAATAGAGCGTGATACGGTGGATGAGCACATGCACATTGCACAGAGCACACCCCCGAACTAATTAAGCGTGTTTAGATCTTCGGGAAATCATTACCACCGCGATGACTAGTCCACCGCAACACCTTTCCGCGTAGCACCTGTCCGATCACCGATCACCTCATTTCACACACCAATTCTCATTCCCTATAAACACTCACTCTCTTCGCACGCCCACTCCCGCTCTGTGATCACAACAATACTCACAACTTCAAAACGGAAAGCCGCGATTCGCGCCCCGAATTCCGTTGCCCCAGCGGAAATATAGGAAACCCCCTTTCGAATTTGTTGAAATTCAGTTTTTCCTCGCGCGAGAGGTTTATGAGGGATGACGAAAACTGCGGCGGTGGATGGCGGCGATCCGGCGGCGGAGTTGAAGAAAGAACTGCAGAAGGTGGTGAAGGTGATAGTCAGTGAGGATGGCATCAATGTGGGGGCCATTGATAGAGCACAACAAGCGCTGCGCTCGTTGTGGGACCTGAACACGAAGCAGCAACGATCATCGTTCTCTGTACCGGATGAATTTCGGTGCCCGCTTTCTAAAGAACTCATGAAGGATCCTGTTATTGTTGCCAATGGTCAGGTATTAGGGACTTTTCACTTTTGTCTGCCTGTGTGTATATGATTTTTGTATTTCTTGCATTTAATTTGTGTGAATTAGGTGGTTGGGAAATGCTGTCTTTGCTCTAAATTTTGATTTTGATAGCTGATTGAATTCTGCATTTTATTTTTTTTTAATCTCTGTGGCATTTGATTGTTCTGTTAAATTTAAGTTGTTGAACTCAACTGATGTATGAAATTGCGGATTTTCTGGCCAGTAAATTCTTCTCTGATGCAAAAATACACTTAAATTTATTTTCTGTTTTGTTCTTCGTTTCTTTCTTTCTTTTTCTTGTTCGTTGGCTTTTTAGTCTTGAGTCATCTAGATGATTCTTGCTGTATAATGGTAGAAAGGGTGTTCTTTGCTCAGACAAATAATTATTTAATAATTTATCTATTCATTATTTATTGTTTGTCTCACTTGTGCTGAAATAATGCGCATTGTAATTCCTTCCATCTATTAAAAGATCATTTTTCTTTTTTTGTGCTTGTTGATTTTATTACATTGTATTGTTTTCTTATGTAGTGGTCACAAATTTGCAGACATATGATAGATCATTCATTCAGAAGTGGTTAAAATCTGGGAACAGAACATGCCCTCGAACCCAACAAGTGCTCTCACATACTATTCTTACACCTAATCAGCTGATTCGGGATATGATATCTCAGTGGTGCAAGATGAATGGGATCCAGTTGCCGGACCCCGTGGACAACTTAGATGAGGAGGGACTTACTGAAGCTGATCGCAACCATTTTCTTTCTTTGCTTGAGAAAATGTCTTCGACATTGTCTGAGCAAAGAGATGCTGCTAGAGAATTGCGCATGTTGACTAAAAGTGTGCCTTCTTTCAGGGCATTATTTGGGGAATCTGAGAATTCAATAGCCCAGCTGATGTACCCCCTGTCTAAATGCAAGTCTGAAAGCGAAGTACAACCTCAACTGCAAGAAGATATAATCACTGCTGTTTTGAATCTCTCCATCCATGATAACAACAAGAAGCTTGTTGCAGAAACCCCAATGGTTATTCCTCTTCTTATGGATGCATTAAGATCTGGGACAGTTGGAACAAGGGGCAACGCAGCTGCTGCCCTTTTCACACTGTCAGCCCTGGATTCCAATAAATCACTTATTGGGAAATCAGGTGCCCTGAAACCACTTATTACCCTCTTAGAAGAAGGACATCCTTTGGCAATGAAAGATGCTGCTTCGGCTATTTTTAATCTATGCTTTCTTCATGAAAATAAGGTTAGAGCAGTTAGAGATGGTGCAGTGAGTGTTATCCTCGAAAAGATTGCAAATAAAGTGCATGTTGATGAATTGCTTGCCATCCTTGCTATGCTCTCTAGTAACCAGAAAGCAGTTGAGGAAATGGGAGAGCTTGGGGCCGTTCCATGCTTGCTTAGTTTAATCAGGGAGACCTCATGTGATCGCAATAAGGAGAACTGCATAGCTGTCCTGTACACAATATGTTTTAGTGACCGGACGAAGTGCAAGGAGATTAGGGAAGAGGATATTAAATACAGAACAATCTCTCAACTTGCTCGAACTGGTACTTCAAGAGCCAAGAGGAAGGCAAGCAGCATTCTTGACAGACTGAATAGAGCTTTCAACATCACTCATTCTGCATGATTAACACTTGGAGCGCAATATCTGTAAATTTCTACACTTTTATAGCCTTTGCACCATTACTATATTGAGGCATGGTATGTTCATACACAACTGTTGTTTTGTATATTAGAGTTAATACCAAGTTATAGTTGCCATGAATAATTGATCTGGGTATTATATCAATAATATCCTATCTTTCTTTAGTGGGACTCTTCATTTCTACCCAATTTATGTTTTAGTGGGCTTTTCCTAGTAACACCTAATATGATGATTGGCTTATTAGCTTGATAAATGTGGCTTCTCTAATTCTGTGCCTTGGTGGATTTTGCTTCATTTTCAGCTAAACCTGCTAGTGGGGTTCCTTTTATTTCTGTTAGACTTATTGCATAGATATCTTCTTTTTTAGCTTAGCAGTTATTAGGATCCACATGTAGGGCCTTTTGACTGGTGGACATATGGGGTAGTTCTATCCAACTTCTTGTATCATTATTGTCAGTATAGTTTGGCCTGGGGAAAGACCCAAAACTTGTTTGACCTGATCTATAAGGTGACTGAATTGGTTCCTGATTGGATTAGAATCCTAAACTCACAGGAATGGTGTGCCCATATTGAATGATTCTACATTATACCCATTACTGTGGCCAGTGGTCCTTTACATTCTGTAACCAAACCACCACCCCCTTTTAGGTTAGGGAGTCTTCACAGAAATAATAAGGTAGCCAACTCCCTACCTCATCTTTTGACCACCTTCTAACTTTCTTTTTATGTTCTTCTCTTTTTGGTCCTTTCTCTGATCTTTGGGCTCTTCTTTAAAATGAACTTTCTTGTGGTACCAAGTCATGTCTGTACTATGTTCTGAACTTAATGGATTCATATCCAGACTTTAACAAACTAGTAAAACAAGTTTAACATTGTTGGTAGAAATGCAATTTGTTAATGATGGCTTTCATTTAAAAGTGTTTACTTGAACTTAATAATGTGATAGTATTGGTTGTATCTGTGCCTTCAAATCCCTCTTTAATGTGATGGTATTTCCCATTAATTGCCCTCACTATCCTTTCTTACTTAATGGCCTAATTCAAGGGGAAAGAAAAGATAATCTGTTTGTTGGGTGACTGTCCTTTCTAATACACATGGAGTCTGTAGAAAAGGATATAATGTGTCTTCATTTTTTGTCCATTTCCTGTTTCTTGCATTCTGGCATGTGCTGCAGTGCTGATGTGGGTAAGAATGAAAAATTCTTCTTATATTTTACCTTTGAGTTCTTGTTGGAGGAGATAAATGTAAGCTTTATGATTTTAGACTTATCAAGTATGAAAGATTTCAGATTTGTGTAATATACAAGTAAGAAACTTACGTTTGCAACAAGCTACGAGACATATACTATAGTGTTTTGTTCAATTTAGTTATCATACATTTATTTTGTTCAATTTAGTTCATGTACTTTAAAAAGTGATAAAATTAAGGACAATAGTTAACGGTGATAATATTACTGTTAACTTAGATTACGTGGCGTTGACATCATATTTATATTTCCACTCATATATTATTTTATAAATATTTAAAATTAATTATTTTTACCACCAATATATTAAATTAGTATGACCAAAATAAATAATTACAACCATGTTCTTAATGAGATTTGGACACTTGATGTCATCGTAATTATTTATTTTAGACATATTAATGTAATATATTAGTGATAAAAATAATTAATTCTAAATATTTATAAAATAGTATATGAGTTGGAATATAAATATTAGATAGCAATGATGTCAGTGCCACGTAAGCTAAGTTAACAGTAATATTAACACCGTTAACTATTATTCTTAGTTTTATCACTTTTTAAAATAGAGAAACTAAATTGAACAAAATAAAAATACATATATTAAATTAAATAAAACATTATACTACAAGGACTTAATAGATACTTTGACCTATCCAGAAAACATGATTGAAATACATAAAAACTTGTAACTATTTTGAGATAATGCAGATGGTGCAGGTTCAATAATGAAATCAATGTGGAAAGTAAAATTGGGTTGCCAGAAACGTGCCCAACCTATGCAAGGCATGTGAGTTTGGCAGTGTGACACAAGCAACCTTGGTTTGCAGTTCACAGGTATTGCATTGTTGTCTACTTGTCTCTAACATCTTATATTATTAAGGGTATAGTCATCAAAATGAGTTTAACCCGCCAAGTTAGTCCGTTAATTATTATTGTGAAGGACGGAGCCAAAGAGAGGGCAGATGCCCCCTTTACCCCACCCCCATCTCATATATAACATTTATATGTATATATGTATATATAGTACAGGTTTTAGTATTAGTATAAAAAACAGATAAATGTTAAGTTGTTAACAAGAAGTGAGTTTGAGTAGTTGGCAAAGCATGAGTTTGGTTATAATGAAGATTATGGGTTCAAATTTTGTGACATCAACACATTTTCACAGTTTTTTTTTTCTTCTTCATCAGAATCACGTTTTTAATATTTTTTTAATATTTAATACACACACACATATATAACATTCTTTTTTATTCAAATTATTTTATCAAATTAATTATGTTTCATATTTTGTTATGAATATTTTCATAAAGTTTCGATAGGTTTTATTTTTTGCTCATATCCAACAATATTATACCTATATTTCTTAGAAGCAGTGTAACACCCCACTTTTCTAACTCTTAATCACAATTCTAAACCACAATAACAACCATGAGTCAATAAAACAGCTCTTCAAGAACAAAACACTTTCAAGAATACTCAATAAATACAAGCTCATAGGAATTACTCAACAAATATGGATTCCAACGGCATAACAACAACGAATAGATCTTGGCTCAACGTCTCAATAGATTCCAATAATATGGATTTCAAGGGATATAAGTTTAATTCAAATACAATGAGATCCCAAGAATAAGGCTTTCAACAAGATCTTACTAGCTTCAAGATTCAATTATAATAGCATTGCAAGTCAACGTAAGCTCACAAGAATACTTAGAAGGAATTTATAAGCATTCTAGATACAGATTCAACAATAAATCGTGGAATGTCAAGAATAGACATTAGCAATGATTCAAGGCTCAACTCAAACAAAACAACTTCTCATACTCAACTCTAGACATTAGATAGCTTCGATAGATATTGAAAGCAAACTGAAAGTAGTCAGAATGACTCAGGGATCAATATCAAGCTACGAGAAAATTTCCAGAAGCATAAGCTCAAACTCGATGATAAAATTTCAAGAATTATCATGCCATTAACAACAAGGGATTTGGAATGGAAGTTTGACACAATGAGCACAACAAGATACTCAGGAATTAACTACTTTTAACTTCTCTATTCTTTAAGCAAGGCTTACAATGCAACAAGGCACATAAACAAGAATCAAGTATAAGCTCTTATACTTTTCACACTAACAACTTTTACAAAACTTCCACTTTCAAACTTTAGCTTTCAAAGTCTCAACTTCTAGGGCCCGTTTACTAACAGAAAATTATTTTCTGTTTTCTATTCTCTGTTTTTGAAAATTCTCTGTTTTCAATTCTCTGGTTTCAAAAACTGAAATTGAAAACTTGTTTGTCTGAACTTATTTTCGAAATTCATTCTCCATTTACTAAATTAAAAATGTACTACATATTATATATATATATATATATATATATATATATATATATATATATATATATATATATATATATATATATATATATATATGTTTTTTCGTGACAAATTAAAATGTCATTAGAAAATATATTAATTGCAATAATTTAAAATAAGTTGTTTTGTGACGAAATGTGATTACAAAACATTACAAATAAAATTGAGTACACCATGATTATAACACTTCAACATTAGGTGGAACTAAATTTAATTATAATTTAATTTTGTCCAAGTTTCAATGACAATTTAAAACTAAATTTAATTATAATTTAATTTGACCAAGCTCATAACCAGAGTATAGCAGATCTGCATATTCAACAAAATCAGAAGCTCAAAACCAACGGAGGTGGGACGGCCTTGAAGCATTTCTAGTAGATCTGGACCTTGAACTCCGTCTCTTCTTTCTCCCTCTTCTCAGCCATTTTCACAACAATAAACTATCAGATCTGGAGATTCAAGCTTGGGTGACCTTCCAGAGTGCAAAATCAGAAGCTCAAGGAGACCGGCGGCGAGGCAGCAACGACGTTAGGACTAGCAGAGCAAGGAGATCGGCGGCGAGGCAGCAACAACGTTTGAACTAGCAAAAGAAGGAGATCGGCGATGCAGTCTGGAAGAAAGAAGAAAAAAATGTGGTTGGTAGGAGTCGATGGTACCTATGGTACTGTTCATGCGTGTGTTTTCTATTTTGAAAAGAAGTTTAGATTGTGTTTCTAATTTCTTGCAAAAAGGGAGAATAGTTCTCAATTTTGGAAATGGAAAAAGAACATAGTAAACACTTTAGCTGTTTTCAATTTTCAATTTTCAAAAATTCTTGAAAATTTCCTGTTAGTAAATCCCCCCTAGCTTTTCACTTTCAACATTGGAACCCTTGGTTTTTCTCTTTCAACTTCTCACTTTTAACTTCTCTACTTTACTTTCAAAAGGTAGATAAAAGCACTTTAAACACGTTGATAAAACACATAAACAGATAGGCAAACGCAAGGGAACTCACAACCTCACCGCATTCCTAACTGATACTTAGAGCTTCTCTTAACTCTGATTCTCATACTTAGTCACTGAACTTAGAGTCTTTCTTATCTCAATCTTCATAACTTAGGGCTCTTTCCCTAATCGAATCCTTCCTGGAATTTCCACTTAAAGTTCCCTTCTTATCTTGTCTTTCTCAAGACTTCAACTTGGAGGTCTTTCCTTAACTTGTCCTTCCTAGGACTTTTACTTAGAGTTTCTATACTCAATCTTAAGGGTCAAACATCCTAAGTCTCCCGTAGTTCGTACCACTCTGATACCAATTTCTTAGTCAATTCTTTGACTTTCCAACTCCTCTTTCGGGATTGCTTGAACCAACATAAACTCAAAACAAATTTTTGTCTAATTCTTTCTAAACGAAAATGGATTCTTTCCATTCTTACTTTACTTGGGTAAAACACTATTTTCAAAATTACTTCTTTTAACATAAACTTTAATCGTTCCCTAACAATTTTTTTTTTTTTTTCATTCTTACTCATATCTTCTTTCATTCGTCTAATTCTCTTGTTCAAAAATTCGTAGCATTCAAATC